CAGAGAAGGTCCTTTCTTGAGACAAAGACCTGGGCATGACTTCACCCCGCCGGGGACAGGCTTACTGGCTCCAGCGTGAGGGGAGTCAGGAATGAGGACAGGGAGCGGGGCGGTTAGACAGACTGCGCCTGCTGCCTCCCCTCAAGGACCGTGCGCCAGGCCGAGGCCGAGGCCTGTGGCCAGTCTGTGTCCCCCGGTTGCTGACGCCGGGAGAGGAGAACCTGGCGAGGGTGGAGTTGGCAGCACGAGAGACTCGAGTGACCTGGTGTTCCCTAGACCGTCTCCACTTCCGTCCTTTGGTGAACTCCTGGGAGGAGCCCCGAGCGTCCTCTGAATTCCACCAACCTGCCCCTCTGGCTTCCTGCTACCATCCGGGTCTGGGGCTGCCTCCTGGAGGGACAGGCCCCTCAGGGGTCATCTCCCCAGGGGTGCTTCTGGGGAGCGGTGCCCCGAGCCCTTGGCAGGCTGGAAAGCATGAAGTCATGTCTAGCAGGCGACGTGAGCAGGTTATTCCATGGAGGGGTTGCCCACACAAACAGCAGCCGCCTGGCTCTGCAGGGTCCCCGGCTGGCGAGCTGCCTCTCCCTGTGGAATCCAGAGCCGCGGACCCTGGCTCACACTGTGGCTGGATGTCATGCGCAAGGAAGGCGTTCCAGGGCTGCGTGTGTAGGGACTGGCTTGCCTTTGTAAACGCTCTCACTCTGGTGATGTGATTTCTTTTTTTACTTCTGGGTTTTCAGTCGTACCCGAGAGTCGTGGTAGCCGCATCACAGAGACGGGCCGTAGCCTACGTTGTTGGGACAACACCTCCAAAGCATTTTTACAAGAACTTAGAGTAGGTCATTATGGACATATTGCAGATAACAAAACTGAGGAGTAAGAGGTTTACCCAGAGCCACAGTTGGCAGGCCTAGACTTCTGGCTCCCAGCTCTGTGCTTGTACAAGAACACCCACAAATCATCAAGGGTAGACCCCGCTCAAGCACTTTTTTCCTGCCACTTACCAATTGCAAAAGTAACAGATTTTGTGCTGAGAGAGTCGCCGTCCTTTGGGGCCCCTATGGAAAGTGCGGCACGGGAGGGAGGGCGTGCACTGTGCAGTCCCCGCCTGGCGCAGGTCCAGCCTTGCCCGCCACTTGCTGTGCCGTCTGAGGGAAATCACCTAACTTCTCTGTGTCCCAGACCCCACAGCTGGGAAATACGAATCCTTCTCCAAACCTCACAGGGCAATGGGAGCAGGAGATGATTTAACATACGGCTGTGCTCAAGCGGAGTACCTGCTGTGTAACGAGCCCTGGATAAATACTTGCTGTGGTTATTGCTGCAAAGAGGCAGGCTGAGGAGAGAGTCGCCCGGCAGGACGCATGAGCGAACAGGAGATGGAAGGCTACAGGAGGGTGTTAGAAGCCAGGCAGTCAGAACGAGGGAGTGGCTGATACCCCTGCTTGTCTTCTTGGGTGGCAGGTTCCTGTCAGCTGCACTGTCCAGAGGCTGCGCAGAGCAGGCTGAGTCACAGGAAGTGGCGGTGGTTACACTTTGTGTTGAATGACTCAATAAGTGATGGCTGTTGTTGTTTGGGAGAGAGAACCCAAGACCTTACCTTCCCCATAAACTAAGTCCCATCTAATACTCTAGACACACGTATAATTAATTATGTGCATCCTGGGCAAGCTGGGGGGCAAGGGGAGGGAGAGCTGCAGAGGCATAGGAAAATATTTTTAGGGGAAAAATAGTCATTAGCCGGGTATGTAAATTAATCTGCTGCCACAAAGCCACTGCAGCTGATGACCATGCCATCCACTAACCAGTCACTAAAAGAGGGAAGCCTTTTGCCACTGAGTCGATACAGACAAGGCTTTGAGGAGGCTGCTGCGTCTTTTGGTGTTAACTCAAAAGATGCTTCTAACCTGAAAAGAAGCATCTGAAGCCTATGAAACAAGTGATAGAATTGTCAGGGAATTTCTGGTAGCCTGTCACCGGGGATCACTGGCATCCCAAGGCCCAGCTGTAATAAAAATGCAGTTTCAAAGTGGTTTCTCTTTTTTCAAGTCAAGGGAAGTAGGACTCAGAAAGCGTGGGGGGTTGGGAACTAGGTCAGACACTTGTCACACTGGCTGCTGTAGGAGGGAGAGGGCCGCACAGAAACCGTCTTGGAATTAAAATGTGACGCTCAGTTAGTGTGTTCTTTCAACAGCTATTTGGGGGGTCCGATCAGAAAAAGTGAAGGCCTCCTTAGAAGCCACAGTGGTGTGCGGAGGCTTTTATCTAGATTTGGGAACTGGATTCAGCAGGCCCAGGGACTTTGCTGCTTGTTGGGTTTCTTCTGATTTTCCCTTCAGCTCCGACAAGCAGGGCTCGTTGGCACTGGGCTGAGGCATGCACCCCAAATACACACTGAGTTTCGCAAAGGAGAGGCTTCAGGGACTGGAGCTGCTGGGCCGTTTCAGGAGCAGTTGTAGGGTGTGTGGCTGTGCATTTTGGGGCGCTGATAGCCTAAGCATGGCATAGCGTACAAGCCAGGGCATGCGCTTGGGGAGCTCCTTATTTCGAAGGGGAAGGGATTGCTGCCCGAGGGGCCAAGCGTGCTTATTCCCAGTGGGGAGCACCCTGGCCTCCTCAGGAACACCCCTCCTCCCTATATTCGACTCTCCAGGGCCTTTCTCATCTATCTACTTGACCTTGGGAGAGTCTAGCCCTGTGGTGGCTTCTTGGATATCCACTGGGATGTTTTCCCAACATGTATCACTAAGCCACCGTGAGTGATGGCAGACAGCCCATCCAGAACTTGAGGTCTGATTTGCTCTCTCTTAATCCTCACATGCCACAACACTGGTTTAGATTTCTGCCATGTGCTGGGCATATTCTAGGTAGGATGATAAGAAGGTTTGTTTGTGCCCTTAACATCTACAGAGAAAGACGTATATGAGAACCTGCAAATGCACCAAATGGAAAAGAGCAGGCTGGGTTAGTCCCCCGTGAATCCCCACGTGGCCGGAGTGCAGGATGGCTAAGGACCCAGAGGGGCAGGTCCCTATACTGTGGCCACAAGCAGAGTCTGTGGACTGTGTTTTGTAGCGGTGGGGAGGCAAAGAACGTTGTAAGCAGGAAGTCGTTCCGATAAGGTGGTCCACCCATGAGACATTCTGCGAGGGGGCTGACTGCGTAGGGTGGCGTGTGGCCGCCCTGCAGCCCATTTCGGTGCCGTGGGAACCGGGCTGCAGGCCTGTGCGTCCTGCTGGGAGCCTTCTTGCTTCCCTGACCTCATTAGTAAAACAGAAATATAACACTTGCCTTTGGGGCTGTTTTGAGGAGCCAAGAGATGACAGCAATAAAAGAGCTTTGCAAACTAAATTTTTTAAAACAATAAGGTATTTAGGCAGTGGGCCAACAGTAGTATTACTTAAATATCGAATCATTTCATTCCCACATCCATTCCCCATGAAATTGTTCTTTTAGAGGAGGGGAGACGGGAGGAAGTGGCAGAGCCAGCAGGGCTAGAAATAAATGAATACTTGCCTCAGGAGTGCAGAACCCAGGGCTTCCCCAGCCAGGAGAGGCTCAGAGCAGGAAGCAGCGCAGCCTGGCCCCCGCGCCCTGTCAGGGTACAGATCCGATCTGCCCGCAAACCACTGGGGCACCCAGCGGGGCCCCCGGAGGTGCCCTACAGGCCAGGCTTGGGTGTCCCCGCAGAGGTGGCACCCAGCTCCCCGCCCTGCTGTGACTGGGAGTGGTTTCCAGATGACTCATATGACTAAAATGCAAAAAAATAAAATAGAGGTGATTGGCATTTTTCTAAGCAAGTCAAGTGCCAGGCCTTGTATTGTGTTCTAACTTATCTCAGGATCAGAGGAGGAAATAAGGAAAGACTTGGCTTAACTTCTCTTGAAACAAGAACATTTCTGCCCTTTTCTTTCTGTGTGGGTTCCTGTGGCTTGACTTCAGCAGGAGGAGAAATCCCCCCCCCCCGCCCCGCCCCCAACGAAGGCTGCTGTTAGTGTTGGAGAGGCCAGACAGCGCAATGGCTGTGGGCTGGCTGTAAGGCAGAGGGATATTTTCATCCCAGCTCTATGAGCTTGGGCAAACGGTTTAACCTTTTAAACAGTTCCCCTGTCTGAAAGAAAAATGAAGATAATAATGGTACCTGCTTCTTGAAGATTAAATGAATAAATCTGTGCTAGGTGCTCAGAATAGTGCCTGGAGAAAATAAGCCCGTAATAAATGCAGTTAATGGTATATTAATTTTAACATTATACCTCCCCACCTCCCCTCGGGACTGCTCTTGTAACGCAGCCGCCTGCGTGTCCAGTGTGTGTGGTGTCGCCGCCAAAGTTGGTGGTCCACCCAGAACCTCATTGCCTGATCGCGGCGTCCTCCCGGCTGCGTAACCGAAAAGCCGCTCTCGGGCCCCGCCCTCTGGCTGCCTCCACGTCTGTGCCTCGGCTGCCCATCGGCCCTTCCCCTCCCAGAAGCTGTGTCCTCCTGGCCTCTGGAGACAAGACAGCCCTCAGCCCCGAGTTGCGCGGGAGGCAAGGGGCTCTTGGGGTCTGTGGGTGGCGTCTCGGCCCCGCCGTGGCTCCTGACCCTCTGACGCATGTCATCAATTTCACACCAGTGAGGGTAACACCCACTCTCCGGGGACTGGGAGTCCCCACGGTGAAGTGCCCCGCATACAGCAGGCCTGTGGGGTGGCTGAGGCAGGGGCGGTGGGGGTGGGACAGCCCGCGGTTCAGTCCTCGCCGGGCGTGGGCCCGTGAGCGGTCCCCGCACCTCCGCAAGCTCAGCTTTCTTTGTGCGCTGAGGGTAGAGGGGCCCTGCTTCTCAGGATCCTTGTGCCCATTCAGTCGGGTGAGTAAAGGCTCAGCAAGAGTTCCACGGGCGTCACCCCATTACTAGCAGCCTGGTGTCCTGCCCTGCGGACGCTGAGCGGCGCGGCAGGGCCGTGCGGGGACAGGGCCTGCTGGGGCCAGCGCTCAGCGTCCCCTCCGCCCTCTTCCCCGCAGGGCTCTACTTGCTGGTCGGCGCAGGGGCCCTGATGATGGCCGTGGGCTTCTTCGGCTGCTGCGGAGCCATGCGGGAGTCGCAGTGCGTGCTCGGATCTGTAAGTGGGGCGCCAGGGAGTTGGTCTGAAGGGCGCCCGACGTCTGGCCTCCAACGCCAGCCCCTTCCCGGGCCCACCGCGACCTTGGCAGTCACCCCTCCCCGCGCCTCGGTTTCTCCATCTCTTGAGTAACAACAGTATTATCTTTGTCCCTGCCTCTTATGGAAAGTGGGCGGGGGGGGGGCGGGGGGGGCGGTGGCTTGAGGTCGTTAGTGTAAAGCACTTTGGGGAGGAAAAGTGTCTAATAATTGAAAGGGGCAATTATGATTGTTCTTTTAAAAAATACTACTTCACAGCAAGTGGGGCAGCCAAAAGGCTCCTACAGGCAGGGAAGTGCTGCTACCAACAAGAAAAAGCATTGCTGTCTGAGAGCAGTAACTTCCCCAAACGTCCCTCCTGCGGCTTGCTTTAACAAGCAGCCTCTGTTTGTTTGTTTTTTTTAAACGGAATAATTTCTGTTAACTGCTATACATCCAATGCCTGCGTGACCTGAGAGAAACGAGGCACAGGGAGACAATGGACAGGAAGAGAGTTATTTTTTCTATTTCCCCCCAAGGAGTCAGAAACAGCAGGTTTATGGGCGGCCTGGCCCTCGCCATGGCAGCCTTGAATTTTAGTACGTAAAATCCTTTTCTACTAAAATCCGTTTCTTCGTCTCCTTGCCCTTCCTTCCCTCTGCCTTTCCCCTGCCGCTGAGCAGCTCTCTGTCTTCTTTATCACTGAGCTGAGTTAGAGCAGAGCAGACCCAAGAGATGGAGCAGAAATCTGTCCGGCACACCTTCGCGTCCGCTGCCACCTCTGCAGAGAAGCCTGCAGGCTGCAGTCTCGGTCACGTCGTCCTCACAGCCAGCCCCGCCCCCATCACTCTCCGCCTCCTGCTCTTATTTTATGTGTTTATAGAACCTCTTCTGTCCACCCAGTGTTCACTGAATACAGGTGTCAGGCACTGTTCTAGGTAGTGGGATTTTGATATCACTGTCTGAAGTTTTCTTACGCGACTTTTTTATTGCTTTATTCCTTTATCATATGGACTCCTTTCCGACATAAGTCCGTGGCAGCAGAGGCACAGGTGTCTTTATTCACCGCTGCGTGCCCAGCACCAAGGACAGTGCCTGGCACAAAGTAAATGCCCAATAAACACTTGTTCAGTGGACTGATGAGCGAGTACATGAATGAGCGGACACACTACATGGCACTAAGGGACAAATGCCTCCAGCTAGGTCAGCTCTCAGCAATCACCTTGTCTGAAGTTTTTCAAATGAAACTAGAATCAAAGAGGCTAAGTAAGTTGTAAAGGTACTGAATTAATGACGTTGGTATCTTCTCTCTACAGTTTTTCACCTGCCTACTGGTGATATTTGCTGCTGAAGTAACCACTGGAGTGTTTGCCTTCATAGGCAAGAGTGTAGTAAGTAAAAATTACTTCCAGTTTCTTTGTATGATGGTTCAAATGTTCTTGTTATGGAAAAAGATAGGAGCCTATTGAGACCCATAGTGATGTTACAAAACCAAGTAACCCCCACAAATACAATTTACACAGAACTTTGTGACTGAGAGGCATTGGATGGGACAGAACTGGGCATCTGAGCTGGGCATCTGTAAAAAATAGTAAACATGTAGAATAAGTATATATTCCCTCCTTTGGAATTTTCCTAAGGTGGCTGGTGTCCTAAGGTGTGCACACATGTACACATTTTTCCGGGGAGCCAATTCATAGCTTTTGTTAGATTTATAAAGGTGTCTGTGATTTTTTTTTTAAATAAAAGAATTTCTAGTATAAGATTATCCCTTATTGAAAGGGAAAAAAGAAGTCAGATTGCAAGTGTGAAAAAGAAGGTTGGGGAAGAACGTGCATTCTCATCCCTTGTGACTATCGTTTGTCCTTCGGGGTAGGCTCGACGCCTAAAGCCTGACCTCCAGGTGCCGGTGAAGCCAGTTAATTTAGATCTGTGCGCAGACTGTAGGTGTCCAGAATAGGCCATCGGGAGAACCCACAGAGGAAGTGGCCGTTCAGATGCTTAAAACACACTGTGGAAAAGAGAGGTGTTTCCGAAAAGGAAGAAGACTGGAATCTTAAGTTTACTGTATTTCACATAAATTCATATGAGTTGTCAATGTCATGTTTGTGAAATTATTTTAGATTTTAAAAAATAGTAAATATGTAGAATAAGTATATATTCCCTCCTTTGGAATTTTCCTAAGGTGGCTGGTTATGTGTGTAAGTTAGAGGAATTCTCCACATTTTATGGGACATTTGAAGGCTGAAACAGTTTTCCTTGGTCATGAACACCTTTGAAATCATGTCATGAGAAGACTTGAGTCCCTTTAACCAGTGGGTAGCAAGAAGCATAGGTCCAAATCCCCGCCACACATCCCAGTCACCCGGGTCGCCTGGCAACGTGGGGTCCAGTTGATGCTGATGCCCATTCAGGTTCAAGAACCCCCCCTTGTAAGCAGTCTTTCTAGTCTATGAAAATTATTCTTGTTAGTCTATCTTCCCATCTTAGAAAGTATCTTAGAAACCCCAGATCCTATAATATGTTCCCTATATGCAAAATTATCTTAAAATACAGAAAAACATATTGGAAAGGCTGTATTTTTGAAGGGTAAGGAAGAGGAGGTTTTCCTTGAGGAAAGGAGAATGCTTGAAATTTCATTAGACTTGTGTCTGTGATTAAAAAAAAACAAAAACAAAAAACACGGATCTCTAGTATAAGATTATCCCATTCGAAATGGGATAGAAGTCAGGTTCTACTCACTGTCCCCTTGGGTCTCCTGGTGCCTTTCAGGCGATACGACATGTCCAGACCATGTACGAAGAGGCTTATAACGGTTACCTGAAAGACAAGGGGAGGGGAAATGGGACTCTCATTACCTTCCACTCAACAGTAAGTAATTTTACTTCTTCCTTAAAATCTCTTCTTCTAAATAAAACTTGTAGGCCAGGTTCTCTCTGATCACCTGGGTTAAAAATAAGATGCATGTGATATTGCATATATTTTATAAATTATATGTTATAATGTATAGATATGCATATGTGTGTATACATATATTTCTATCTGCATACTAATACTGTAAGTTTACTGTTGAAAAAATCCTTAAAGAAAAAGAAAAATGTCCTTAAAGAATCTTACTATATCTAGGGTTTCTTACAGAATGTCTGTTTATGCTGTTTTCCCACCCTGAAGAGATGCTCTGGAATTCATATCATAGAATACATTATTTGCATATTATTATTTGCCATGATAGTCAAGGAAGCAGCTTTAATTCACAAAGACTGGCAAATATAATAGTACAAAACTAAATTTTTTGTTTTCCTGAGTTATAAATTTTATTTGGCTTTTATATAGTGGGTCTTACAATTCCATAAGCCTAACTTTCAAAACACTAAGAAAGAAACAAAACTGTCTTTTTGGTAAATTTCTAACATAAATAAATAAATAAATGAGGGCAAATTCGGCGAAGCCAAGCAGCAGCACCGTGGGCCCGCCCCCGTGGTACGCACAGCACCCGGAGGAGGAAGCGGCCCAGCACACAGGTCACGAGAGGAAGTCAGGACATGTGCCCCAAGGACACAAAAGCCAACAGACAAGAGCTCCAAGAAAGTAGCCACTGTCGGTTTCTCTCCAAGGGTGGCATGATGGCGCACCAGACACAGCCATGACCAGTCAGAAAAGCTCCCTCTCAGCTGCAGCTCTGCCCCCTGATGGCTTTGTGACCTCTAGGAAGTTCCTTGCCTCCCTGATACTCAGCTCCTCTTGTTTGTAAAATAAAGGAGTGCGTGAGACAGCCAGTTCCTTTCCTTCTGGAAAGTCCTGCCATCAGCACACGGCTTTGAGCTACGTGCACTCAGTCAAGGAAGGCTGACCGAGTCGTGGGGTTTCTGCGCCACTGCGACACAGAGGAGGAGCCGTGAGCCTCTGGGCCACGTGTTTTCAGGGAGCCCAGCTCTTGTCTGTCAAGGGAATGTCCTGAAAGGCACCAACCACGTACCCGCTCAGCCTCAGCTGCCCCGAGGACGTCAGGCTGCACACAGGTTCCTTTGTCTTTGAAGGGCCAGCCCTGAGGCAGGACACCTGCTTGCTGGCCAGCCTGCAAGCCCTGGTCTTTAGCCCCTGGAGTGTACTGTGGTCTGTTCTCTGCTCCGACCCAGACTGTCCCCAGTTAATGAGCCCTTCCCGAAGCTCATAAAACTTAAGCTACTCAGCAGGTTAAATTACTCCCAGGCTGCAAGAAAAAAATACTAGAGGCCCAACTCCTGTCCGAAAAATGGCAGTTTACACAGACACTGAAATTAACTTCTTGCCAGTTTGGGTTGCCTTGAGTCACTTCCCATCATAAACCTGAGGCAACTTCAGAGAAGTCGTTTTCTTGTTTTGCCCGCACAAGCATGTGACTCTCCACTCTTTCCAGAAATGGCGGTTTGGGTGCAGTTCGGGCTGCGGTGACCGCCCCGAGCTGCCCTGCTGCCGCGGCACCCCGGGCCTTAAAGACGGCCCCCCCGCCCCCACTCCTCCCGTGCCCTAAAAGCCTTTTCTGACTCTAGTTTCAGTGCTGTGGAAAGGAAAGCTCCGAACAGGTCCAACCCACATGCCCGAAGGAGCTTCCAGGACCCAAGGTAAGCGTCTCCAGCAGCCTCTCGAACAAGATGGGTTTTGCCTGCTGGGAGGGGACTGTCATTTCAGAAGGCCCTCTCCCAGTGCCATCTGGGCCTCAGCATTATTCTTTGTCAAGTAAGAGCCGGTTCTCAGTCTCCGGGGACCGGGGCAATGGTGCAGGTAGCACTCACTAAGCTCACCCGGGCCAGAGGCGCGCACCCAAGAATGCCGCCCCGCACCCTCCACAGGGACACCGTGCTGCTCAGTGCTTGATTATTGAGTGCCATGTATCGGGCACTACACCAGGTTCTGAGCACTCTGTGAAAAGCGCAGGTCCCTTCCTCAGTGGCCTCACAGACGGGCCACGGGCGATGCCGCTGCACCTGAACCCATGCGGGGCGCCGCGCAGACAGAGCGGGGTTAGGGGGGCTTCGCAGAGCACAGGGTCCTTGAGCTGAGTTTTGACAAAGGGAGGTCATTCCAGGCCCAGAAAGCAGCAGTGACAGAGGCGTGGCCGTATGAGCCTGCAGGACTGCAGGACAGGGAGTCCGGGGCGGACGGCGAAGAGCATTTTTGGGAGAGGCGGTCGGAGGCGTGATTTCACACCTGGGGATTTCACAGGCTTCGGGAAGCGCAGAGGGGTAACACCGTCGGTTTTGCATTGTAGAGGGAGCACTTAGGCTGCGGGGTGTGCCGGGCGGAGCTGAAGCTTAGAGGCTAATGGAGAGCGGCCCCTTTGGTGACATTCAGTGGTCACCCTGGTAAGAGGGGATGAGGAGTTAGAGCAAGTCACAACGGTGGGGTGGGAGAGGAAGCGACAGATTCAGAGATGTTCCCGGGGCAGAATCAACAGGCCTGGACAACTGGCTGGGCCAGAGTCGGGAGGGAGGGGAGGCAGCTGAGGCTTCAGACTTAGGTTGGGTGGGCAGAGGGTCTGCGCAGTGAGGGAGGCGGGTGCGGGGGGAGGAGCAGATCCTGAGGGCAGAGGGCAGCTTCGGCCTCGGTCAAGTTTGCACTTCAGGTGCCTGTGGGACTTCCAGGTAATCTGTGTTGAAGATGCAGGTGTGGAATCCCAGCATCCTGGTGGTAGCTACAGCCGTGGGTGTGGGTGGGAGCACCCAGGGAGAGAGTGTGGGTGAGGAGAGAGGTGGCTGAAAATGGGGCAATTAAGAGGTAGGCTGAAGGCGAGAAGCCAGAAATAGACTGTGAAGGAGGAGTCGGAGGCAGGGAGAGCGGAGCTACAGTGGCACCTAGGAAACGAGGGAGGAGGGGGCGTGTCCATAAAGTCACATGCTGGGAAGAGGACAAGAACGGGAAGGCTGGAAGTAATTCGTTGGGTTTGGTGCTTAGGAAACTGTTAGTGGCATTGGCCCTGTGATTTCAGTGCAGCGGTAGGGAAAACGCCGGTACCACGTGGGGAATGAGGAAAATAGGAGAATGCGGGAACAGTGACATCGAGGCCTGAGGCATTCGGCCCTGAAGGGGTGGAGGAGAATTTACTCCCAGTTTGCATTGTGAAGCGCCCGCTGAACACTCCCTGAGTCCATGGGAGTTGGATGAAGTGACTGAGGCAGCCGTTGCCTTGGAGGGCTCACCCTCTCTGGCTGGGGAGACATGGGACGGGGCGTGGGGGGAGGCGGCATCGCCCCACAGGGTAGCCTGAGACCCAGCCAGGGGCACAGGACTCGGGGGCTCCCAGGAGGCTCCCCTGGCATGATTCCTAGGGTGAATTTTGAAGGATGAATAGGAGTTCAGCAAACAAACAGGAGAACGAGTATTCCAGGTAGAGGACGTCAGGCACGCGCCAGGCCTGAGAAGGGAGCTGTATTCAGGGGGGCGTGGGGTCGGGGAGGGGCCGCCCAGAAGAGTCCTTTTAGAGAAGGAGCCTGTTCTCGAAGGGCCTCAGACACTCTTGTGAAGCCAGAAGTCTGGACTTCGTGCCGATTGCTTAGACTACCGTCGCAAGTGGGCTCTGGGATGGTATTTGCATTTTCCTGACTTTGATGTAGGAGCAATAGGGAGGACTGCAGGGAGATGAAAAACCCGGAGCCGAGGAGACCAGTTGGAAAGGCTCTAACCACATCGTCGGCCAAGAGGTGCTAACTGGTAACAGGCTGGACTGAGCGGCAGGAATGGGGAGAAAAAGGCCTTCTAGAAAGTGAAATCTGCCGGACCTAGTGGCAGGTGAGACATGAGGGAAGACAGACGGACCCACTGCAGGGTCCTGACTTCATCATCTGGAGGGATGATGGTATCATTTATTGAGCCCAAGAATAGAGAAGAAAAAGAAGAAAATTTTAGAGGGAAAAAAAAGTGAGGTCAGTGTTTAACATGGGGATTTGGTGGAGCCAGTGGAAGTTCCAAATGGAAACGCCCAGTAGGCAGTTGGAAAATCTGGTTTGTGGCTCAGGAGAGGGATTTGGGAATCTTAAAGCTGTAGATTGTATTTGTTCCCTTAGGTTTGGAGGAAAAGAAGAACAAGGATAGAACTCTGGGGAACAACATTTAAAAAGGACCAGAGGAAGAGTTGCTAAGTAAGGAAACTAGGAGCAGGCAGACTCCAGCGAGGAGGCGGGACAAGGGGACAGGGAACATCACCAGGGCCAGGTGCTGCCACTGAGGCCGGTTCAGCATTTACCAGGCACTGGAGAAACAAAGGCCAGTGACACAAAGTCCCTGCTCTCCAGGAACTCGCGGTCTGTTGGCAGAGGTGACAGCAGTGGTGGAGTGAGCGCAGTGTCAGAGGGGCGCGCTAACCTTGAGCAACCCTGGGCGGTGCTGCGAGAGCAGGGCGGGGCGCTTAGGTGAGGCCAGTGGCTGCAGGGACCGGGAGGCTACCCGGGGCGATGACCTCTGGGCTAAACCTCAGGGCGAGAGGTCATTAGCAAGCGTTTGGCAGGAGGGCATCGGAGAGGTCTGCCCCCAGCGAGCAGCAGGAGCAACAAGGCAGACACAGAGAACGCGAGGGTTCATGGGGGGAACTAAAGGCTCAAGAATGAACAGGGAAGCTGGCCGAACGGAGCGTTTAAAAAGTGGCAGCCTGGCGTCGGAGGCGGCCTGGCAGCGGCGTGAGGACAGAGCCCGGGCTGCGTGAAGCGGGATGTAAGGAGGAAGGGCGCCCTTCCCATGGTTTGCCTTTGGGCAAAGGACGCGAGAAGAGAGTTCAGAAAATCTGACACCCAAATTGCCATTCAGCACATCAAAATTACAGGCGATTAGTAGTAATGTTAAAAATAATAGCAAGTTAAAATAAAGAGATGCCATTGTTTAACCTATGAAATCGGCCAAGTTTTTTTCCTTAATGATAATATGTAGTGTGGGGCACAAATGATGTAAAATGAGTGCTGTCGGAGAAATTGGTACAGAGTTTTTAGAGGTCAATAGGAGTATATGACTAATGGGTTAAGTATGGTCATGCCCTTTGGTCCAGAAATTCCACTTCTCAAAATTATTTTAAGGAAAAGAAATCAGAGCTGTGGACGGAGACTTCCATGTGGTGGTGTTCACTGCACTGTTATTCATAAGAGCAAAATCCCAGTAGGCCATTAATACGTGACAGTAGAGGACTGTCTTAATAAGTTATGTACTACCACAGGATAAAGTGTTTTACAGCCATTAAGATTACAATTTTAAAGAATCTTTCATGAAAGAAGACATTTTTGAAATTTAATGTTAAGTTTAAAAAGCGCATGGTTGTGTATAAAGAACGAGCTTAGTGTTTAAGAATGCACCAACAATGCTGGCGATTATCTTTAGTGCCAGATGCCGGGTTCGGTACTATCCACGGTTTCAGGCATCCACTGGGGGGGGTCTTGGGACGTATCCCCCACGGATAAGGGGGGACTACTCTACCATCAGGTGTTACTCCTGACTTTTCTTTTCCCAACAGAATTGCATTGATGAAATTGAGACTGTAATCAGCGTTAAGCTCCAGCTCATCGGAATTGTTGGTATTGGAGTTGCAGGTCTGACGGTGAGAAAGTTTCAGAACAGACCTTTCTGCCCTCTGAGAAGCCTCGTACCTTTGCATCTTGTTTCTCTTTGAGTGTGATGGCGGTATCTTAGGAGAGGTGTCTTCTAAAGGACAAAGCCATTTGTTGACAGGACATCTATGAACAAAGCTATTTAAATACATTAACACCGAGTTCTCTAAAATAAGATACAAATACCATAACATTGATGACTGTGAGTTTATTATTGTAAACTTCCCAATTTAAAGCCACCAAGCTTAAATTAGACAAGTGACTTTCAATTCTGGGTCTCTTCCTGCAGTTAGGAGTTTGAAATAACACCAGGTTAACCCCTCCCCCGCGGTTTATGGAGTCGGCGCAGCGTGGGACAAACAGCGTGCGCGCCAGCATCAGGCCGCCTGGCTTCCACTCCTGGCTTTGCCACTTACGAGCCCTGGGATCATGGGAAAGCATAATTTCTCTGTGCCTCAATTCCCCCACCTGTAAAATGAGGGTTTTAATGTACTGACCCCATGACATTGTTGTGAAGATTAAGTGCAATACTACATACAAGTATTATTAGAAATTAACTTGCATAGTGCCTGGAACACAGCACTCAGCGAATGCTAGCTGTTGGGTCGTCTGTGTGCTTCTAAACCTAGAATCCAGGCAGAGGGAGCAGCCATATGTGACAGCGTGGGTCGCGGTGCCTCCAGGCACTGCCGGTGACTCCGTACTTCTGAGGCACAAAAGAAGAGTATGCAAGAATGGCTAGGGACAGGAGGGTATGGAAGGAGTAGCCAGCAAGGGATGGCAGGGAGGGGGTGTGAAGATCCACATAACTGAGGTCTTTATGTGTCCTTGGCTAGAAAGAGGGGAACCACTGAGGACCTGTGGTGCCGCGTGGAAATCAAGTCAGAGGGAGGCAAGGTTGGAGGCAAGGTTGGAGTCAGGCGGAGCCAGTCCAGAGGTGGTTTCCATTGCTCAGGATCTGAGTGCCAAGAGCTAACGCTAAGGCAGTACTTACCCTGTGACCCTCTATGTAGGCTAATTCCTGACCTAAGCTAAGACAGGGGCAATGGGAATTGCAAGGAAATCAACGAATTGGCAGGTCTGGGGAGACACTCAAGCATCTTTTTTCTCTGTTTAGAGCACAGGGGTGCGGCAGTGGATGCATGCACTATGCCGAGGACCCCAATCCAGGGACACCTCGCAGGCCCTCCCACCTGTCCCGGGGCTAGCCTGAGCACTGCTCTGCGGTGCAATATTTGAGAGCATTCTATAGAACGGAAGCACCAGACAGACCCCTCCCCACAGTTCTCCAGTCTCGATGAATGAGCGTCCTAGAAGCAGTCACACTGACTCATGACAGCGGCAGGAGGAGGCCTGTAAAGTGCCTTTCTGAGGGGATCCCTTCTGATCACAGCCCGGATGAAGCCGCGGTTGCATCCAGCCTGCACTCCCTCCATAGGCCATCTTGAATCAAACCCCCACCCCGAGTTTCTCCGTTAGTTCATTTCTTCACGTGTAAGAGTTGCACAGTGTCGTCAGTTAACCAAATGTCCATTAGGTGTCTCCCCTGCCACACACTGGTCCCGAGTCAGCCAGAGGCATGGAGCCCTGCCCAAGCTCAGAGGCCATTCCCTTACTTAATGTCTACCCCCGCCCTTCTGAAATAACTGATAAACACATGTCTTCTTTACCTTGGCACTTACAGATCCTAGTGTGGTACAGGATGGGATTGAGGGGAGAGCAGAGAGTCATGGTACTGATTTCTTTAAACAAACACTGACAACAGTTTATGAACATTGTCCCCACAGAGAGCGTTCCCCCGGCTCTGCAAAGGGGGGGGGAATGATTGAGGACAAGGACCTTCTGTTCAAACCATATAAGTGGCTACGGATCTTGCCAAGTGTTTGGCTTTTCCGAGAATTATCCAAGACGGAGAAGACATCAGTAATATCATACCTCAAACACCTTAGGTTATGCTTTGGTAAAACTATTGAGTTAAATAGTGAAGCATCACTTATACCTAGAAATGGACCAGGAATGAAGACATGGTCCACTTTTTAATATGCAGTCACTGTTGCAAAAATTCAAAGCGTTTCCAACAATGGACAATTATTTAGATCACAGGCATATTTAAACACCTAATGGTTATAAACAATTTTCAGAGCAAATGTAGAAGAGATCTGAAATTAACCTGAAACATAAAATTCCCAGATCAGTAGTGTATTATTAGTCTTTCACAATTATTAACAATGGTTCTAGAAGCTAGATGCAGAGCCCTTTGCTTAAAGCAGAGCCCTGTTACTTTTTAGCAATAATAAAGTAGGAATGCATTTTAAGCAGAGTGAATGTGGAGGTCTTTAACCAGTAATAATTGAGTGAGCATATAAAAAAGCCATCGATAACCGGTAATCGTTGGTTCTATTATTTGTTAACTAGAGTTAGACACACAGACATTTTGCTGAGCTTTTCGTCAGTTTTTATCATGTGAGAGTCATTAACAAGCGCTTCCTTCTCTTTCAGATCCTCGGCATGATATTCAGCATGGTCCTTTGCTGTGCAATACGAAACTCCAGAGATGTGATATGAAGCTACTTGTGCAAGAAAAATGCAACCTAGAGCTTTCATATAAACGTCACAGGAGCTGTCTCCTGGCTCATTTTTAATATTCAAAGGACATTAGGATTTAAATACCTTTCTGTCAGTTGTACATTTGCACATGTATGTACGTACGTTTGGCTCATTACTGACTTGCCCCTCGGGTGAATGCCTGTGTATGTTGACTGAGAGCATATTTGTGTGTAATTTGTGTGATTCCAGTGTATGCATTACACAGAATGAAACTGGTTTGCTGGAAATTCCTGATTTGCTATATAGTGAAAGGAACAAGTTATTAAATATTTAAGTCTAAGAAAAAGATAAAAAACATTGATAAACTTAAGTAATAATGGATGGGTTTCTCAGAGTCTAGCCACAGAAAGCTAGGTGCAGAGAATTCAGGGATCCCTCATCAACAGAAGCAATAAACCGCAGGAATGGAGAGATCGAGGTGCAGTGTTAAAATTGACTAGGTCTGAGGAGAGTGGAAGGGTTCCTAGGATTTTTTTTATATACATGCTCTCCCCAGAATACAGTAAACCACAGTTTTAGACCTAAATACATCTGTACAACTAAACATAGCATGGAAAATCTAATTTGAATAAGTCATACTTTCCTAGTATTTAAAAACAAAAAAAAACCTCCCTCTGGAAAGAGGGTCACACAGACAATCATGTGTCCTGTAAAAGTGACTGTTGTAAGGACTAAAAAAGAAAAAGCCTTTTAACAACTTTTTAAGGAAATATTTTTGTTCTTACATAAAGGTGTTTCAATATTGCTTTATTACTTTCTTTTTCTGATGCTACGCTCAACTTTTGCAACCCTCACAGCCACAAAAGGGCTTTTATCTCAGACTTCTCTGTATTTCCCCAAATGTAAGGATGGGAAGACTAAAGTAAGAGATCTGGCAACTGTAAATTGTGGGAAAGAGAATTTTTACGGGCACTGTGTCTTTAAAATACCTCATTACTTGAGTTTACATATCTTCCTAATTTTTTGTATTTTTCTTATTTATTCACCTAGAGAGTCCTTCTTTATAGATTAAAAACTACAGTTTTCACCACTTAAAATAAATAAAACAAAATTCTTCATAAGTCCAATATTATATCATGAGCATCCTTGACCAACCCAAAAGAAACAAAGAAAAGCCTCTTCTCCTGGTTGTCTGTGCACAGAGACAACTCAAGGAAACAAAAAGAGTTCCACACACACAACAGACACCCGTTTTTTACAGTGCACGTCCCCTATAGAAATAAAATCTTCATGTTCTATTATGGTCTTGATGCTTCGTTTTAAGTATGTGTAAACCCAAATATAGGATCTAAATGGACATATTTGCCTATTTTTAATAACTTGGTACATTTAGTAAATCATGGAGTCCTTTCTTATTATTACATTTGAAATGGACACACACAAAAGTGAAAGTACGGGGACTTTGAAACCACCAAGCAGGTTTGTACACGTGTGGGAACGCAAGACTTTGGGTGTGCTCTTCCAAGAAATTTTACAAACCATTTTACTGAGAAGGCCTAACGGTTGGAAATCGCCTCAGGCCTGTAGAGAATGACATTTCCCCTTCTGCCATACTTGCTACTGCTACTAGGCCTTTCTGGGGGAGAAAAAAAAAAAGTCAGACTGGAAGCAAGCTGCAAGTTGAATTGTGCATAGCTGCTTTACTGTATCTAAGAAAATTGCTTCATGAAATAGCTGTTTATACCCAGTAGTTGAGAAACACAACCTTTTCAGCAAAGAACAAACAGTCCATGTCTTTGATGGCTTTATTCATCTGTCTTCCTGAAGACGGGACACGCCCACGTGTACACTCAGGTTTCTTTCAGCTCAGACAGTGTCAACAGAAGTGAGTTTCATTGTATATCTGAATTAACAACCTTAAAAAAGACTACAACAGTTAAGTGCAGAAGAGCAGAGGTCTGTTCCATACATGATTAATGCACTCCTTTTGGAGTGATTTTTCCAAATTATGTGCCATGAGTAAAATTGGAGAATTCCACCTCTTAGTGAGGGCAGATTTATATATAACTTGAATCTGTATATACATCTTGAATTCCTATATATCTTGAATCTATATATAGCTCTTGGGTATGTATCTCTTGAATATATACACATATATAACGAATATATGTATACATGTGTGTATGTGTGTGCATGTATACACGTGTGTGTAGGTGTATATGCATGTATACATTTGTGTGCACGTATATACACACACAAATATAAAATTTTATTTATGTCTGTTTACCTGAACTGATATGAGGTCAGACCCAAACATTTTCTTAAGCATCTGGTGCCAAAGTCTTGACTTAAAACTTCTTGATGAAATATTTAAGATATTTCAAATTAAATTTTCTATGTACTACAATTGCTTGTTTATCTTAAAGTCCTGTTATATCTTGATACACACCTTCACACAACTTATCCAAAGGCGCAACTACCAATCACCCAAACAATACGATGAAAAAAGGGGAAGAATGGTAACCCTTCCACAGAGTTAGACGTCGGGAGCTGGACTTGAAAGCCACACCTTAAGGGCTCCCACTGCATGTGGTTATATTTCAAGTAATAGTGTCTCACCCAGTATACACCTCCTCCCCCAGAGCAGCTCCTGTCGTCCACGGTTTGACCTGCGCGCCAGGGCAGGGCCCAGGTAGCGCTCCCTGCAGGCGCCCACGAGGTTGCTCTCCTCTCGCCGCGAGGAATGCTAATGGGTTTGCTCGGGAGAATGAGGTTTGAGTGAAGAAGGCAGTGAAGGAGGCTGCGTCTCTTCCCTTTTGAAAGAAGTTTATCAGAGATGAAGGGATGAGACACTCTGTATCATGGGTAAAACGTGGTCCCGCGGCTCTAAGGACAGCGACTGGGAATCCAGGAGGCGCACCCCAACTTTTCTGACTCACTGCTCCCCTGGCATCTGCTTTGACCACCAGCCAACCGCCCCCACCCAGTGTCAGCCACCCCGCTTTCCCCTTCCCGAGGGGGGTGCACTCACGGGCCCTTGAAGCCAGTCAATTAAGTACATCATCTTATTTTGGACTCATCAAAATCAAATCTGTGGAAAGGCATATTTTAAGAAAGACCAAGGTTTTTTATTTCAATGTGATTCATTTTTTCCTATAAAATATACCTGAGGAGATAAAGGTATCATATGGAGGTATCCTCTGAGAGATAAAAAGACTACCCCAATGCAAAATGTCATTCATCATTTTGTTGATATCCTCATTATAAGGCTAAATTACAAAAGCTAAATACATTCCAAGAATCCATTATTCAAACGACTATCTCCTTGGGATGTGGAAACATGAAGAACAGAAGTAATATACCCAGAATGCCACAAAGCAAAATCTGTGCTGGCTTCATATAGTTTTTAGCTGGTATGCCAGGACCCCTTCCAAAGTTTTGGTATTTTTTTTGGGGGGGGGGTCCTATACAAATATCAAATAGAAGAAATTTAAATTAAAAAAAGTAACCAACAAAGTGCTCAGTATACGTGGCAACTAATGAATATTAAGTACTGTTATATTGACAGGGAGATTTTTTTGTTAATTATAAATCATATGTAATCATGTTTAACTGAAGATGCTTCCACAAATACCTATTTGAACACATTCATTTGCTGAATTAATGAATAGTTTTTGATATATTTCCCAATTCTATTTTAATTCAAAGACTTGGTATTACTAGCCTCAGACAAAGTCCCTATATTTTTCTTTGGGCCTACTCTGCCTTGTAAGATGGAACCCACTCAAATGTTAGAATTATTTTTCTTTACTTTGTTTTGAAACTGCTATTTTATACATTTGGGGGGGGGGGAACCTCTTTATAACACTGATAAGCTAAGATGACCAAGACAAGTCTCTGCCTTCAAGAAGCTTGGAGTGGTAGGTCCTGCCAGGTAGCTCAGTTGGTTAGCATGTCGTCCGGATACGCCAAGGTTGTGGGTTTGGTCCCTGGTCAAGGCAGATGCAAGAATCAATGAGTGCCTACAAAGTGGAACAAATCTATGTTTCTCTCCCTGAAAAACATCAATCGATTTTCACTTTAAACCTGAGAGTGGGAAAGAGCTGGCAGGTATAATTCCCATAAGGTAAGTGCCACGATCATCATTAACCCCGAGTGGACCCACTCAACCGTGGGGACAGTGGTCACAGGAGAGAGGGTTCCTAAATTTTTAGGTCTGTACACTGAGTTGAAGAACTCAGATAAACCAGCCAAGTAAAACGTAATAGGGGTAGGGAAGAAAAGGAGACTGCTGGGAAACCATGCACAAGAAGACTGAAACAGAGAGAGCAAGTAAACAAAGAGGGCAGGTCAGGAGCTGGAGATAAAGCGCTCTGTTACACTGAACTAAGGGGTCTTACCTTTGTACAGAGCTCATTGGGAAAATTTTAAACAATGAGTTACAAAATCAAATCAGGACTTTTTAAAGATTACTTAGCTTCAGTACGAATGACTGAAGGGCAAAGGCCAGAGTCATGAGGATGTCTAACTAACATGCTGGAAATCCTACCAAGAAGAAGTGGACAGATATAAGAGAAATTGAAGGAAAGAAGAACCTAGAATCGTTCCCAGGTGTGTTTTGGTAGCTGGAAGAGAGCGGAGCACAGGAGGAAAAGACAACTGCTGTGTTTGTGCTGGAGATGCCCACAGGACACCCAAGAGGAAACAGAAACAGGCCCTGGGTATACGGCTCTGATGCTCAGGAGAGAAGTCTGGGTTAGAACTATAGTTTAGGAACCTGCAGCATAAAAGTCATAATGCCCAGGTCTGAAAAATCTGAGCTACCGCTCATGTTGAAGACCTCAGTGATAAATTAAAAGTTTAAAAATGTCAAATGAACATGACAAAAACTCATAGACACAGATAACAGTATGGTGGTTGCCAGAGGGAAAGGGAGGGGGAGAGATAGTAAAAGGGGTCAAATATTGACTGCATGGTGGCAGGAGGAGTTTTTGACTTTGAGTGGTAAACACGTGATGCAATATACAGATGATATTATAGAATTGTACACCTGAAACCCATATATTTTTATTAACCAACGTCACCCCAATAAATTTAATTTTAAAAAATTAAAAATTAAAAAATCCTCTCCTAAAAGCCCAAAACATTTCTTTAAATTTTCCCATTCATTTCTTAATCTCAAACTAGGGTGTCTCTTAGCTACTTGCATTCTTTCCATAGCTGCCACCTCAACTGTCTTATTGAAATGGGTATACTTCCTTAGGATAGCCAAGGCTGAATAATACAAACCCATTTCTCATGTGCTCTACATTTAATGGTGTCCAAAGGGACAACAGGACACCATTCTCACACTGCTAGCTAACCCTTCTTACACAAAGTTTGCAATCTTCACCCCCACAGCACCAAGCAAAATTACACTGGCAAAAAGTACAGTCCAGAACTACATTACTGTCAGCTGCTAACAACCGTAGCATAGATTTTGTCATCTTAGAGAAGGGGTAGAAAGAAGAGGCAGGAGAAGAGGAACGTGGACTTCGGCCTCATGGGGACTGATTATAATCGTGATGGGTGTGTTTCATTGTGAATCCAGGTGTGTGACCTCCACTGAGCCCTCTGGGGAAGCAGAGAGGCCAGGGAAGATCAGAAATGAAAAGTGTCCCAGGTGTTGAACCAATAGCCAGTCATTGCTGGCCTTACTGAGAACTGCTGTGAGGGAAGATAGGAGTTCAATGGTCATGAGTTGAGAAGAGAATTGAGAAGTGAGGGAGCAAATAGCCAGTGGCGGGAGCTTGCTATGGTCTACACGTTGACGTCCCCTGAAAATTCGTATGTTGAAATCCTAACGCCCAACGTGATGGTATTAGGAGACAGGGCCTTCGGGAGGTGCCTAGGTCATGAGGATAGAGACTTCATGATGGAATTGTGTCCCTATCAAAGAGACCCCACAGAGATCCCTTGCCCCTTCTGCCCAGTGAGGACACAGCAGGAAAGAGCCAGCTGTGAGCCAGGAAAAGGGCTCTCACCAGAACATCCCAGCCTCCACAGCGGTGAGAAACAGATTTCTGTTGTTTATAAGCTACCTGGTCTGTGGCGCTGTTACAGCAGCCCAAATGGGCTATGCAGGGCTCTTTCACAAAGAAACTGGAATAAGAATTCAAGGATAAGGGCAAATAAAAAAAAAGTTGCACTGGGTCAAGACAGGGATGTTTGCTTTTTTGCTTTTGCTTTTTTTTTTTTTAAGGATGAGGAGACTGAAGTCTGCTTCATACTGAGGAGGAGGAGTCAATAAGAGGGAAGCAAGAAGAGACAAAAGAGGAAACAGAAGGGCTCAGGAGGAAATGTGGGATGGGATCAGGAGTATCTTTTTAACCAGTGGTGAAGATGCTGAATCAGTACTTTCAAGCTGCAAGTGTCAGAAATCCCACTCTAACTAGCTGCAGCAGAAAAGAAAGTTTATGACTTAAGGGTCGACACCGGCCTCAGAATAGGCTCAAATAGTATCAGTAGGTCTCTCCTTCTCAGTCTCCCTCACTCTCCTTTGGGTCAGCTCTATTCTCAGAGAGGTTATCCCCACGGGATGCCAAGGACAGACAGCAGTCCAGGCTCACACCCTGTGAGCCTGGGAACCTCAGCAGGCCAAGCTCTCCTCTTAGTCCAGAATTTACAGCAAAGCCCTCACACTGCCTCTTGCTGGAGGAGCCTGACTGGGTCACACGCCCACCCCGCAGTCAGTCAGGCCTCGCTGAGCCTGAGGAGCACGCCCGCCTTCATTAGTCCCATGCAAGCCATTTGAACTGAAGATGGGGAAGAAAGGACCCCCAAAGAAAATCAAAGTATAGCTACCAGGAAGAGGGACATGGATGCTAAGGTGGCAAAAAGTGGCAGGAAGGAGGAAAGTAACAGAAGTGACACAGGGTTTTTCCAAAGAAATATACAACTGAACCAGAGAAAAGAGTAGGGGAGGACCAACATTGAACAGTAGGGTTAGAGTAGAAGCTACCTCAGTAAAAGAATTTCTATTGCACGTAGACGTACTGCTCAAAAAAGGGGG